AAATATTAATTCTCTTCCATGCCCGCTTTGCTTCCCTCTCCTTTGCCACTACCAGCTTCCCTTTTAGTTGCACAATATCCGTTGGCAACCCCATAATCTTATCCTCAAAATCCTTGTAGGAAACCACTAGGAGTTCCCCGAATCACAGTACATTTTGATCCACCGACTCCATCTCCCCTCCTTAAATAACCAATTAGTGGTTCTCGTACCCTTTCTCACCTCCTTCTCCGTTCACCTCCATCCTGTCCCATTTCCCTTGTCTCTCCTTTTATCTCGTGGACTACGATGTGCTTTTACTCTCTTCACTTTTCCCACCGTTCTCCTCCTTGCCACCTTCCCCTCTCAGTCTCTCTACTTCGCCACTACTAGCTTCCGTTGTACTTGCACAATATCCGTTGGCAACCACATAATCCTATTCTCGTAGGAAACCCCTATGAGTTCCCAAATCCCAGGATATTTTGATCCACCCGCTCCATGTGTCCTTATATAACCAATTACTGGTTCTCCTCCCCTTTCTCACGTCCTTCTCCCATACTTCCCACTGTTTCTACTGATAATCACCATATGGAACTCTTCCTCAGCTTGTGGACCTTCTGGATCTTCTGATACGGCTACGGTTGCCCAATCTGTAGTGTGTTTTGAAATCAGGCTTTGGTCAAGGAAGGGAGGAATGCTGGGGGAACCCTTGCCCTTTCTGCTTTTAGGCCCCACCCCCCTGACTTCTCTTTCTTCTTCGTAGAACATATAGGTCCAACATCTGGATATTTTAAATAATTAGAAAGGAACTAGGATTGCTCAGGGTGTTTGGATATTTTAAATCAAGAGTTGTGCCCATTGGTGTTATACTAGTGTTAATATCTTAAACCAACGTATGGATATTTTGTTTCTGTGCTTCATAGGCATGAACAGTGACATGCTAGATCTGCCTAAATCTCTATTTAACATGATGTTCTCCTCTTCGTCCTGCTCTGTCCCCATGGTAATTTATCCAGAATTTGATATGTTACTCTGAATTCGCTTCCGCTTACTTTTTTTGGCATACAAAATTTACTTTGATAAAAAGAGAATTCGATTAGTGGGATCCATCTTTTGCTGTTTGCTATGTCCCTTTGTCATGCTTGTTTCCAGGCACAACCTCTTATAGCCACGTCCATTGATTACAAATCGTTCTGTAATGCAACTTCAGTCTGGAAAGGGATCATGTTGTGGTCCCTTCTCGGGAGAAAAAGGTGAAGTCACGAAAATTCTCTTGCAGCACCGACACTACCCCAAACTTGGTCATCTGCTTTAACTAAATTATCTATTGTTAAAACAATTTGAGGATCATGTCATTAAGGAGGTGAATGTTGGATGATTTAAGCCTGGTTTCTTTAAATGAGTTTGCCCTTGAAATAATATTTGATTTATCATCCAGCGAGATGGATTCTTGTTATTAGGAGTTGCCAATTTTGAGAAATCAAGAGATCAGTTTTGGATCCATACATGCGCATTTCTAATTCTTTTGTTTTGTTTTCTTTTCCTCCAAAGATGCTTATTCCTTAGTTGCATTAGTTAAAATAATGGCACATTGTTTGGTAACTAATATCAAGCTATCCTCTGAGCTGAGCTAAACGACCTCTTCCCGCAGGACCTAGAAGATTTCTGTTTCGTCAAACACTGGGCCGTCTCCAGAGTGAAGAGGTAGTCTGCTAAACATATTTGGGTTAATTATGCCTTTTGTTCTAAAACTTTCATTTGAAACTCTGGCCAAGAAGCTACATGATTCTGTCCTGCGTATATGTCATTCCTTTTCAATTTGATTAAGGCAGTAACTCAACTTTTCAGGCTAAGTTTAGTAAAGCTGAGAAGAATGTGAAAGAGTTGAGCCTGTCTGTTGATTTAATGAAAAAAGAGAGTAAAAAGCTGCTTGAAAGAGCGGCTCTCGCTGAAAAGGATATGAAACGTGGTCTGTCTGACCTCATGTATGTCTTTTCTGTATTATCGTTTGTATCGTTATTTCTGTAGCTTCTGCAGTTGATTTTTTAAATTTTTAAGGGATGCTGGAAAACAGATCCAAAGTATTGGAAAAACTGTCTACAAAGTTGAAGCTCAAGCTGCTGGTTAGTGTACCCTATTTTCCTTATTATTTTACGAATAAGTGCTTTTGCTCATTTCCTCCGTTACCCTCTGTTTCTCATTGTTTGCTACATAACTTTGCAATCGACGTAAAACCTTTCTCTTGAATGGAGCTATGGTTTAGCAACCAAGTTATTTCCTCTAAATTTACAGAAGATTTGCAGATGGTGCAGAATGAAAAGCATTCTAGTCTTAGACTTACCATCCAAGTACATGAAAGCATGAGTTTTTGGATAAAACTAGGTATTGCTTTGCTAAATGAATTAACTTTTACTTACAAATTATGGCTCCCGTATTGTTTGCACTTGTCTGGGTTTGCTTAAAGAAAGTACCTGGTTTTGGGTGAACTGCAAAGGAAAATAAATAAAAGGTGCTTATTGGAGGCAGATGTAAGGACATGTTAGAGTAGTGAATAAATCTGTTGGTTTGCTTTAACTGAATAAACAGCTGATTGCTCTGCATGTTATCTGCTTAGTGATGATGTAGCTGATTTAGATTGTTGTTGTATTTTGAAAAGATACCTTTTATTAATGCAACTCCTGTCCTTATATCAAAAGACTTGAAAGTAAAGGAAAATCAAGGCCATACCTTGTTTCGTTTGGTTTTCTATGTAAAGAAAAGGTTCCTTTTAACCAATGATTTTTTGTTTCATTTGTATTTCGTGGTGTAAAGAATTGTATAGGAAGTTGGATGGATTTTCTGGAAACTTCATTTCGAAATCCATGTAAAGCTGACAAAATCTTTGCTGGTGCCAATGAAAAACTTAATGCAACTTCTTTTTTTCAACTGATAGATTTGATGGATGTGCTGCGGGAAATTCCAGGTAGAGAGGCTTTAAAGCTACGAGCAGAGGTGAGTTCCCTTGGCGAACTGATATTCGTCTTCAATTTTGCACTTGTTTCATCAATTTCTACTATCTAGTTTTGATTTATATCTGCATTGAAAGTCCTCATCCTTATCCGAGTATGTCACTCAGGTTGCTTCTATGGCGTCGCATCTGCGTCAACAAAGGACTGCAATTGACAAAAGGATTTTCAAGGTTTCTGAACTAGGTGTTCCTATATGAGGAGGATTGCCAATTTGGAGAAAAATGCTTTAAGTCCGTTTGCACTGATTGTGGTTACCTTATAACTTAGGATGAGTATTGAGGAGGGCTTATATCATATGGATGAACAGTTCATCTGCCCCTCCCCCCTAAGGTGTGATGGGCAAGTGGGATTAGAGCTTTTTACATTTTCTTGGTCAACAAATTGTTTGAAATTTATGGAAATCTTACTAGTCAGGAAATGTGTAGCAATAAGGTTTCTGCACCATTTGGCCCTTGCAAGTGAAACCTTCCTGAAATTTGGTGGATGCACTGTCTCGTTCAGGAATTCGATATATTCATTTTTTTAACTTCATCGCCCTGGTTAGCTAAATTTCTAAGAGCCAACCCATTTGTTTACCCGTAAAACAATACAGTTGAATTTGTTGCGTGATTTATAGACAAGCGAACTGATTTGATCCCAAAATAATAAATAAATTAAATGAAAAATAAGACTTAGTGTTGAAATCGAAAGAAATAGCAAGCCTGATTCCAGAAGCAAGGCTTTCGAGGACAGCGATAAGAACAGTATTAGATAGAAAATAAAGTTACGTTATTTTGCTTGAGAATAAAATGTAGCATAAGTTTTGCCAGAGATCCACAATGGTTGTTGAAGCCCCTATTTATAGCTAACAAGATCCTAGGATTAAGCCTCTCTTAAATGACAATAATGGGGGTCATTAATGAATATGTAACGACAGGCCATGAACGCTAAAGTTCTCTGCAACAGTTGCATATTTAATACTGAGAAATATTCTTTATTAAATGTCATCTGGTGACAATTATTTGTTTGCTTCTGTTGACTGTGTTCCCTTTGGGATCTACCTGATACCGATCGAAGTTGTTGTCCTCGGTCTTGATTTTCACTACCTTCATCTTTCGCCTGCCTCCAGTTTAACGTGTCATATAATCATTCGTTTATTTAATATAAATCAATACCCTATACACCATTGCCGTTCGACAAGATTTCTTGGGTTGTAACAGTTTTTGGGTAAAAGGCCAAAATTGCCCATGTATTATTCGTAAAAATTACACGGGCTAGCCAGTTTTCGACTGGTCATTCAAAAATAGCTAGCGTTTGCGAAGTCATTCAAAAATAGCCACTATTTTGCTGCAACACGAAAAGTTCCAGCATAATATACTGGAGATCGGTGCACCTGTGTATGAACTTCCACCATATTATGCTGGAATTCCAACACGCAGAAAGTTCCAATATATATACTGGAGATTGGAGAACCAGTGCTCCAATCTCCAGTATATTATGCTGGACTGGTATATTATACTGGAACTCCAGTATATTATACTGGAGTTCCAGCATAAGTATACTAGCATTCTAGTTCTAGTATAATATATTGGAGTATTTTTTCGGATTTTGAACAGTGTTTTCGTTCAGATTTATCTTTACATAAAAATTGGCTAAACTTCGATTACTTTTGAAATTGTGACTATTTTTGATGACCACTTGTAAATCTGGTTATTTTTGAATTTCTCCCGTATTATTCGCCTAGGGACACTTTTACTTTCTGTTAATAGTTGGGCATTTTTTTGATCCTGTTGTTATAAAACTAGCAAATATCTGCCCCATAATTTACGAAAGATTCACTTTTGTCCCTTTTTACCAACGGATCCATTAAAAAATAAAAATAAAAATGAAAAAGGTCCAAAATTGCCCTTTAAGTCTGGAAAATGTTTACTTTTGCCTCAATAAAATAATTCGGCGAATATTTTCCCTATTAGTTAAGGGATTCATTTTGAATATCGATATATAAAACCACAAAATGATACTTGATAACTAATTGAACCTCCCCTTATTTATCACCTCTTCCCCTCCCACTTTATCTTAGATTTAGTTAAAAAAAAAAGTTAATTCAAAAAATTAACCATCATATAGGCATACCCATAATGCAAAATATATTAAAATCCATGGACTATAAGCAAACTGAAAGAAAGAAATCAAGAAGAAAAAGTTCAAGCAAAAAATCAAATACAGTTTTAAAAAAATTCATTTGACACAACAGGTATCAAGCAAAAAATTCTTAGAACTCTAAATTCAAAAATAAATATCTATACTATATCAAAAGCACGAAAGCTCTATCGAAATATCACTCACCTTTTTTAGCCTTCGTAAATATATTCTATATTGGATAAAATTGTAATATAAACTCTAATAATCTTTTTGGGTAAAAATTGCACGAGGCGCAGTATTTGGTCGCCCCCATTTAACCTATACCCATTTTTTATTAAAAGTTTTAACTTGTACCCACTTTTTAAACAACTTCAGCCCCCTTTCTCCTCCTCCTCTCCTCCTTCGTTCTCTTAAGATATTTTTAGTACGATAACACATGTTAGTATCTGGTCTTCATTTTTGATGTAATCTTTTTTTCTTTGAATCAAATGAATCGATCTGTGGGGTTAAAGTAATAGTTTCACTTTATATCACTTAAACTTTATGATTATTTGATTTATTTCTACTGAAGGCACCTTTTTCTAATGTAATTACTGATCTGCTCCATAAAAACGTTAAAGAAGAAAAAACGAAGATCCAATATAGTGATTGTATGGGTCAAAAAACTATATAAGCTTTTTCAAAAACTTCAGCTTATATAGTGCTGAAGTTTTTACGGATGAACTAAATAACTTCAGCATCTTCTGCTGAAATTTTTGAAAAAGCTTATCCAGGACAAAAAAACTTCAGCGTATTTAGTGCTGAAGTTGTTACAAATGAACTAAATAACTTCATCATCACAAAACTCAGCTACTAGAATGCTTAAGTTCAGCAATTGCAAACAAAAACTTCAGCACACTTGGTTCAGCAATTTTTGCTACTTCAGGCCCGTCTACTAGAATGCTGAAGTTTTGCGTGATTGCCTTTGCTACTTCAGCCCCGTATGCTGAAGTTACGCGAAAAAGTGGGTACGCTTGCAATTTTTTTTTGCAAAGCGGGCACAAGTTAAAACGTGACCCAAAGAGCGGGTATAGATGCAAATGCCCCTCTTTTTGGGGAGGAAAAAGGTAAAGGTTAAAATATCATGGTATAGCCAGTTTTCACACTGGTCAATGAAAAATAGCCAGCGTTTATCAAGTCAATGAAAAATAGCCAGTATGTTGCTGCAACAGGGACCGGTCCAGTATAATATACGGGAGTTCTGGTGCATTTGTGTACGAACTCCAGCATATTATGCTGGACCGGTATACTTTGCTAACTCCTGTAAAATTTGCGGGAGACTGGAGCACCAGTGCTCCAAACTCCAGTATATTATACTGGACAATTATACTTGCCGGAACTCCCGTAAAAAAATTTGCGGGAGTTCCAGCATAGTTATCTTGGAACTCCCGTAAAATTTACGGGAGTTCAAGCATACTTATGCTGGAACTCCCGTAAAATTTGCGGGCGTATTTTTCCGGATTTTGAACAGTGTTTTCGCTCAGATTTAAAGTGGCTAAATTTTAATGACTTTTGAAACTTGACTATTTTTCAACAACCAGTGGTAAATCTGGCTAATTTTAAATTTCTCCCTGGAAAAAGCCACAAACTATCGTTTATTACCTTTTTTTTTGGATTTTATTTGACTTAGGTTTAGGATTCCTTTACCGATTAATTTTACTTAGTCGTGTCATTTTTTATTTAGGTTTAGGCTCCTTTTGCCAAAACTGGCTTCGGCGACAACTCTTTTTTTAATAGCCTTTATTTTAGTTTTCCTTGTAGGTATATTTCTTTTAACAGCTTTATTTTTGTGTTAATTATTGTAGGTATCGCCGTTGGAACAAGCTCTTAAATTTATGTAGGCTCGTCGACGAGTTCAACTATTGAATTTTCTTTGTTTACCTTAATAACAATTAGATTTGATTTTGTGGTTCTAAAAATATGTGATATATTTTTATGCTAGTTGTTAGGCAATAGATGCTAAGTGAAGGATTGGAAATTAAGATGATAGCTTGTAGATAGCTTAATAAACGAACCGAAATGGCTAGGAATCGAGGCCTCGAGCTTGCGTATACGGGGCCTCGAGATCAAATATCATACCCGGTTAAGGGTAGTCAATGAAGGACTAACAGTTATGAGAGCTGCGATGACGGTTCTCTATAATCAATAATAAACAATAAATGATGAACGATTAATAGAACACAATGAATGTAAGCAATAAATGTAGTAATGAAACCAAGAGAATATGTTCAAGCTAGAGGGCAGAGAATGTTCTTGTATTGAATGTAGTGTATTGTATCTTGTGTATCAGATCTCTCTTACAAAATGACAAGGATCCCCTTTATATATGAGGGGGAATCCCAATATAATACAAATGCATTTATTACAAAGATATGGGGCTGGTACAACCATTTAATGCCATAATACGTGATTGGACTAGTCTACTAGACTTTGCCAGCTTTAATCAAGTGCCTAGGGAACTCCCCATCTTTCCATCATACCTATCGATCTGTGCTGCCTCGGAGTTCATCGTCTGCAAATCCTTCGAGGCTACATCCGAGCCATAGAATTTCTCAATTCTAACACAAGGTACTTATTAGATCGAATGTACTTATTCGATCTCCATCTCGAGTCTGCCTCAAGCCCTAGCATGCATATCTATGGAACGTCGTAATGGCCACGAAATCGGCCCCACTGATTTCACCGTATACAAATAGTCCCCACGTTTCCTAGAATAAAAATGATAGGAAACGATTTCGAACCCTTGCTTCTTTGATACTATTGCCATGACGTCAGTTTGTCAGAGCATTAAATGCCATGACTCAAAAGCCACACAAGGGTCGCCGTTAACACGACTATCGAGAGCGGTTCGTCCTTTCCGCTGCCCATATGGCTTCTATAAATACCTCAACCGTTTAGTGATTCACACTTTTACAACATCTTCAAACTTTCAGAGCCAAAGTCATCCTTTTTCGCATTCTTCTTTCTTTGATCCATTACTTCCTTTCTCAGAAGGACCTTTCCACCACCATGGCTAGAACCTCTAAGACAGTGCCTCGAAGAGAGGGTACCGCCTCTTCATCTCGAACATCCAAGGGTAAACCCAAAGTGGCCCCCACCGTTCAATAGAGTACACCCACCGAGTTTGATACCGTGAACAATTTTTCTATCGAGAGGCCCTCATCTACGCCGGGCCGATGCGAACATGTATCCCGGTATATTAGCGTCGTGACTAATATACAAAAAGTGATGGAAGACTGTCGATGGGAGGAATCAGTGTTGGTTGAGATTCTCAGTTCTATTGAGAGCATAACAGATCATAAGGTCGGCTCCCTTTATGTATATACATACCCATTCACCTTGGGCCCCGTCGATTCTTCAGACCTTTCTTC